TCCAAAGGAAGAACTTCCGACGAAATTCCCTGTCCAAAGGAAGAACTTCCGACGAAATTCCCTGTCCAAAGGAAGAACTTCCGACGAAATTCCCTGTCCAAAGGAAGAACTTCCGACGAAATTCCCTGTCCAAAGGAAGAACTTCCCGACGAAATTCCCTGTCCAAAGGAAGAACTTCCCGACGAAATTCCCTGTCCAAAGGAAGAACTTCCGACGAAATTCCCTGTCCAAAGGAAGAACTTCCGACGAAATTCCCTGTCCAAAGGAAGAACTTCCGACGAAATTCCCTGTCCAAAGGAAGAACTTCCGACGAAATTCCCTGTCCAAAGGAAGAACTTCCGACGAAATTCCCTGTCCAAAGGAAGAACTTCCGACGAAATTCCCTGTCCAAAGGAAGAACTTCCGACGAAATTCCCTGTCCAAAGGAAGAACTTCCGACGAAATTCCCTGTCCAAAGGAAGAACTTCCCGACGAAATTCCCTGTCCAAAGGAAGAACTTCCCGACGAAATTCCCTGTCCAAAGGAAGAACTTCCCGACGAAATTCCCTGTCCAAAGGAAGAACTTCCGACGAAATTCCCTGTCCAAAGGAAGAACTTCCGACGAAATTCCCTGTCCAAAGGAAGAACTTCCGACGAAATTCCCTGTCCAAAGGAAGAACTTCCGACGAAATTCCCTGTCCAAAGGAAGAACTTCCGACGAAATTCCCTGTCCAAAGGAAGAACTTCCGACGAAATTCCCTGTCCAAAGGAAGAACTTCCGACGAAATTCCCTGTCCAAAGGAAGAACTTCCGACGAAATTCCCTGTCCAAAGGAAGAACTTCCGACGAAATTCCCTGTCCAAAGGAAGAACTTCCGACGAAATTCCCTGTCCAAAGGAAGAACTTCCCGACGAAATTCCCTGTCCAAAGGAAGAACTTCCGACGAAATTCCCTGTCCAAAGGAAGAACTTCCCGACGAAATTCCCTGTCCAAAGGAAGAACTTCCGACGAAATTCCCTGTCCAAAGGAAGAACTTCCGACGAAATTCCCTGTCCAAAGGAAGAACTTCCGACGAAATTCCCTGTCCAAAGGAAGAACTTCCGACGAAATTCCCTGTCCAAAGGAAGAACTTCCGACGAAATTCCCTGTCCAAAGGAAGAACTTCCGACGAAATTCCCTGTCCAAAGGAAGAACTTCCGACGAAATTCCCTGTCCAAAGGAAGAACTTCCGACGAAATTCCCTGTCCAAAGGAAGAACTTCCCGACGAAATTCCCTGTCCAAAGGAAGAACTTCCGACGAAATTCCCTGTCCAAAGGAAGAACTTCCCGACGAAATTCCCTGTCCAAAGGAAGAACTTCCCGACGAAATTCCCTGTCCAAAGGAAGAACTTCCGACGAAATTCCCTGTCCAAAGGAAGAACTTCCGACGAAATTCCCTGTCCAAAGGAAGAACTTCCGACGAAATTCCCTGTCCAAAGGAAGAACTTCCCGACGAAATTCCCTGTCCAAAGGAAGAACTTCCCGACGAAATTCCCTGTCCAAAGGAAGAACTTCCGACGAAATTCCCTGTCCAAAGGAAGAACTTCCCGACGAAATTCCCTGTCCAAAGGAAGAACTTCCGACGAAATTCCCTGTCCAAAGGAAGAACTTCCGACGAAATTCCCTGTCCAAAGGAAGAACTTCCGACGAAATTCCCTGTCCAAAGGAAGAACTTCCGACGAAATTCCCTGTCCAAAGGAAGAACTTCCGACGAAATTCCCTGTCCAAAGGAAGAACTTCCGACGAAATTCCCTGTCCAAAGGAAGAACTTCCGACGAAATTCCCTGTCCAAAGGAAGAACTTCCGACGAAATTCCCTGTCCAAAGGAAGAACTTCCGACGAAATTCCCTGTCCAAAGGAAGAACTTCCGACGAAATTCCCTGTCCAAAGGAAGAACTTCCGACGAAATTCCCTGTCCAAAGGAAGAACTTCCGACGAAATTCCCTGTCCAAAGGAAGAACTTCCGACGAAATTCCCTGTCCAAAGGAAGAACTTCCGACGAAATTCCCTGTCCAAAGGAAGAACTTCCGACGAAATTCCCTGTCCAAAGGAAGAACTTCCGACGAAATTCCCTGTCCAAAGGAAGAACTTCCGACGAAATTCCCTGTCCAAAGGAAGAACTTCCGACGAAATTCCCTGTCCAAAGGAAGAACTTCCGACGAAATTCCCTGTCCAAAGGAAGAACTTCCGACGAAATTCCCTGTCCAAAGGAAGAACTTCCCGACGAAATTCCCTGTCCAAAGGAAGAACTTCCGACGAAATTCCCTGTCCAAAGGAAGAACTTCCGACGAAATTCCCTGTCCAAAGGAAGAACTTCCGACGAAATTCCCTGTCCAAAGGAAGAACTTCCGACGAAATTCCCTGTCCAAAGGAAGAACTTCCGACGAAATTCCCTGTCCAAAGGAAGAACTTCCGACGAAATTCCCTGTCCAAAGGAAGAACTTCCGACGAAATTCCCTGTCCAAAGGAAGAACTTCCCGACGAAATTCCCTGTCCAAAGGAAGAACTTCCGACGAAATTCCCTGTCCAAAGGAAGAACTTCCGACGAAATTCCCTGTCCAAAGGAAGAACTTCCGACGAAATTCCCTGTCCAAAGGAAGAACTTCCGACGAAATTCCCTGTCCAAAGGAAGAACTTCCGACGAAATTCCCTGTCCAAAGGAAGAACTTCCCGACGAAATTCCCTGTCCAAAGGAAGAACTTCCGACGAAATTCCCTGTCCAAAGGAAGAACTTCCGACGAAATTCCCTGTCCAAAGGAAGAACTTCCGACGAAATTCCCTGTCCAAAGGAAGAACTTCCGACGAAATTCCCTGTCCAAAGGAAGAACTTCCGACGAAATTCCCTGTCCAAAGGAAGAACTTCCGACGAAATTCCCTGTCCAAAGGAAGAACTTCCGACGAAATTCCCTGTCCAAAGGAAGAACTTCCGACGAAATTCCCTGTCCAAAGGAAGAACTTCCGACGAAATTCCCTGTCCAAAGGAAGAACTTCCGACGAAATTCCCTGTCCAAAGGAAGAACTTCCGACGAAATTCCCTGTCCAAAGGAAGAACTTCCGACGAAATTCCCTGTCCAAAGGAAGAACTTCCGACGAAATTCCCTGTCCAAAGGAAGAACTTCCGACGAAATTCCCTGTCCAAAGGAAGAACTTCCCGACGAAATTCCCTGTCCAAAGGAAGAACTTCCGACGAAATTCCCTGTCCAAAGGAAGAACTTCCCGACGAAATTCCCTGTCCAAAGGAAGAACTTCCGACGAAATTCCCTGTCCAAAGGAAGAACTTCCGACGAAATTCCCTGTCCAAAGGAAGAACTTCCGACGAAATTCCCTGTCCAAAGGAAGAACTTCCGACGAAATTCCCTGTCCAAAGGAAGAACTTCCGACGAAATTCCCTGTCCAAAGGAAGAACTTCCGACGAAATTCCCTGTCCAAAGGAAGAACTTCCGACGAAATTCCCTGTCCAAAGGAAGAACTTCCGACGAAATTCCCTGTCCAAAGGAAGAACTTCCGACGAAATTCCCTGTCCAAAGGAAGAACTTCCGACGAAATTCCCTGTCCAAAGGAAGAATGTGTGTGTGTATATGTATATGTGTGTATGTATATATTTATATATATATATATATATATATATATATATATATACATATAAAGAGAAAGAGAGAGACCTATATCAATATTTTTTTCATTATAAAGTGTACAAGTAATGCATATGGATTTCAAAACATGTAAACCTATAAAGAATAGATAATTAAATAAATGTTTTTTTGTGAATTTTATCTTTTAATATTATATGATATACACCTTTAAGCCTTTGTTTCAGATTCTAGTAATTATAGATATTGTATTATGTGCCTGTAATTTACGTTTTCCCACGAACTTGAGATATAGTGTCTACACCCATACATACATATATATATATATATATATATATATATATATATATATATATATATATACATACATACACACACACATATATATGTATATATATATATATATAAATATATATATCCCAATGCCGCCGGGGAAAATTAACAAAAAATGGGGAAAATGCTGTGCCTATTTTCTATGTTTTTCGTGAAATGTCTGCCGATAGATGGCGGGAAAAAACATATTTTCCACTAGTGCTGTGAAAATCGATGTTGTTATTTTTATCACATATATTATATTTTTATGTTTTTCAACATTAGTAACAGCAAAATGAGATAACATAAAATATTTCATAAATCAAAGAAAAGGGTAAACGGGCGAGGCGGGCAGTATTCGTAACTGGCTCAGTTAGTACAAGTGTTGCCATCTATGCGTAAAATACAATCAAACAAGTACTCACGGTGGGCATACCACGTACGTAAACGTCATACCCGTCGGCATTGGGATATATATGTGTGTGTGTATATGTATATGTGTTATGTATGTGTGTGTATAAATAAATAAATATATATACATATATATACATACATATATATATATATATATATATATATATATATATATATATATATACGTATGTACATACATATTTAAATATATTTTAGTATAGTATGAGTGTGGGCGTGTAGGTCTGTGTGGTTGGGTGGGCGTATGTACATATATATATGTATATATGTATATATATATGTATATGTATATTCACACATGAGCGACACGCGTGAGCAAAATATGGGGAATGGTACGAAATACACTTACTGTTTGAGGTATTACGTTTGTGCAGAAAAAAAAAATCGTGTTTCTAGTCATGCAAAATAGGATAAGTTGGTTAAAGCAGAAAGGTATTTTCTGTAAGTTTCAATGTTATATTTATATTTCTTATATACCAGGGAACTGCTTATTGCAATGTTACTGTAAGGGTGAAAACAATCATGATATCGTTTTTGTTTTTTTCTTAAAGTTATTAAAAATAAGAAATGTCGTGAATTCTTCGACGGATTTCTTGAAATGCTGTATTTTGTAGCACATTCAAAATAAGGTGCATATAGATTTGTATAAAAATCTAATAACTATATTTATTCATTTTGATTTTGAAATTAACTTTTATATGTATGATAATGGGGGATAAACTCAATGGATTAAAAAAATCATTATTCAAATACACTTTATGATAGAATCAACTGAACAGTACATAAGACACCATTTATAATCAAGGCTGTGTGTACAAGCCAGAGGGCTGGCTAACAAAGGATGAGCCTGAATCGTGACTACCGAAGGATGAGCCTGAATCGTGGCTACCGAAGGATGAGCCTGAATCGTGGCTACCGAAGGATGAGCCTGAATCAAACACCTGAGTTCCTGACCCAAAGGACTCACTACCGCTGGAAGAGCTGGAATGGCCTGTCGAGCTTACTGAGCCGATGCTTTGACCTGCGCCTTGGCTTGCTGACTGAAGAGCAGTTTGGAGGTCCACCCCGCTTGGAAGAGTTGGGTTCTCTCCGTCCGCGTAATTGACGAAGTAAACCTCAGGGGTCGAAGGGCCAGAAGACGGTACCTCGATCACCCGCTGGTCTTGGCTGCTCTGCTTGTTCAGAACGTACACCACGTGCTGCTGCCTAGGTGGAGGAATGACCACGGGTTGCGGCCCAAGGCCTCCTTCGGGCGTGCGGATCAAGATGACGTTAGTCTCCACGCGAGGTTCGGGGATGTTAACAGGTCCGCTTGACTGGACGTTGGAAGGAACGTCGTACAGAAACACGCGACGGTTCTCACGAGGACCCTGGCCGAAGGTCGTTCCAGATGAAGTTCCAAAGGAAATGCCCGACGAAATTCCCTGTCCAAAGGAAGAACTTCCCGACGAAATTCCCTGTCCAAAGGAAGAACTTCCCGACGAAATTCCCTGTCCAAACGATGTACCTCCATGACCAAAGCTTGACCCCTGGCTAAATGTTCCCGAATGGCCATGGCTGAACCCTCCGCTTCCTGACCCCGGCAGGCCGTAACCCTGGAGTGTGCCAGCCGCAGCTAGTCCGATGACGGCAAGGAGAATCTAAAAGAAAAACAAAATATTAAAAGTCTGACAAAAATGGAGTGACATAAGCATAAGCCATTCCAGTGGCAAGACTCACCAGGCACTTCATGTTGACGCAGACCTGGTGATGTGTGTGCCTTTCCTGTATGCCCCGTCATTTATATATCCTTTCCCTCTCACCCATGAAACGAGGATCACAACAGCCTCCGCACCGAACTCCAAACGTGGTCTACGTTCCCTCGGTTCTTTTTCCTGTTTGTCTGGCCGCTGGGTCACTGGCACATCCACGCAGTGGCTAATGATGACGATTACATAGATATGTATGTATAGATACCTAGGTAGATATATGTGTATATATATGAATATATATGTATGTGTTTATATATGGGTGTGTGTGATTCCTTCATATATATATATATACACATTTATATAGGTGTGTGTGTGTGCATATATATGGATGTATATGTATTTATATGTTTATGTTTATACATATATATGTATGTAAGTTGGTATATATAAATGTATATATGTATATATACGTGTGTGTGTGTGTGTGCGCGCGCGCGCATATAGATAGATAGAGATGTGTGTATATATAGATATACATATATATTATATATATATATATATATATATGCATATATATGTATGTATATGTGTATGTATATATGTGTATATGTATATATATATATATATATAAATTTTGTATGTGTGTGTGTGTGTGTGTATGTGAGTAAATGTATTTATTGACATACACATACATACACACAAACACACACACACACACATATACATATATATGTGTGTGTGTGTGAATATGTATATATATATATGTGTGTGTGTGTATGTGCATGTGTGTGTGTGCGTGTGTGCGTGTGTGTGTGTGTGTGTGTGTGTGTGTGTTTGTGAGTGTGTGTGTGCATGTGTGTATGTGTGTGTCAATAATTGCATATATTCAAACATGCATATGTGTCTATATATATATACAGATATATGTATATATATATAAATGTGTGTCTGTGCATATGTGAGTATATGTACTTATTGACACACACATACACACACACACACACACACACGTATATATATATATATATATATATATATATATATATATATATATATATATACATTTATATATATATTCATAAAATAAATATGTATATATTAATATATGTATATATAAACATATATATATATATATATATATATATATATATATATATATATATATATATATATTCATATAAACATATATAGTCTACATATATATATCATATATATATATGGATATATATATATATGTATATATGTGTATATTCATATATATATTTATATATATATGTATATGTATATATATATGTGTGTGTGTGTGTGTGTGTTTGCGCGTGTGTGTGTGTGAATAATTACATATATTCAAACATGCATATGTTTATGTATATGTGTGTGTGTGTGTGTGTCTGTGTGTGTGTATGTGTGTGTCTGTGTGTTTGTGTGTGTAACATTTAGGAAAGAAGTTTTTAATTAGCAACAAACATTAGCAGTTACTCTTGAATATATATATGAGTACACACACTCATGCGCGCAACACAAAATCATTTCGTTCGTGCCAACCTTAAGTACAGCCATTCGTTTCCAAAGTAAACCCTAAGGAAACCTTTTTAATAGGTCATACACGTCATGAATATCTGTGAGCATTTACCATTGGCCAGCATGATGGAATTCACAAAGACCAAGTAATTTGATTTGTATTAATATGTTTCATCACATAACATTTGGAATTATTCCCTAATCTACTGGTCACTAATTTTCATGATAAAGTTATAAAGTTATTCATAAATTATGAAATTATTCATTTGTAAATTACGTACTCACACAAACCATAATGTATACTAATATCCAATCATACAGAATATTTCTACACAAGATATATAAAATTGCAAGGATATTTATGACTGTACTTCTGAAGGCCATAGATATTGCACGTAACCCCATCTGCAAATGAGCATATATACCACATATCCATACAATTCATATGTCCTAAATGTACCGATATTGTGATTGTACTTTCATCACTGTAAGCCATGTTCAGTCAAGTCCTGTATAGCAACAGTCGACAAAGGCTTTCACTTCACTTTACTACCTTTCCTAAATATGTCCGGTGCATTCTGCTTTATTGTTTTGCTCGTGCTGAATCTTTCCTTCGTTTTTTTTTTTCCTTTCTTTCGCTTGATTTATTACTTTATTACTGGTTAAAGGATAAGAGGGAAGTGTCGTTGGTATCTGCAGCTGTTGCATTGTAGTGTTGTGGAGGTGTTTTTTTGTTATTGTTCTTTTTTATTGTCCTTATTCTTTCTCATTTTATTTTTTCTTAGCTTTATCATTATTATTATCATTTGTTATTATTGTTTTCATTGTTATCATTATATTTTTCATTATCTTCTTCACTTTTATGATTTTTATCATTATCTTTGTTATTATTATTGTTATTATTATCATTATTATTACTACTATTATTGTTGTTATCATCATCATCATTGTTATATTATAATCATTATTATTATCATCACTGCTGTCATCATTTTTATACTATTATCCTTATTATTATCATTGTTGCCATCATTATCATAATTATCATAATAATATTACCATTATCGTTACTATCATTACTGTCCTCATCATCATTATTGTTATCATCATTATTATCATCATCATCATCACCTTTATTATCATTATTATCATTATTATCATTATTATCATTATTATTATCATCATTATTATTACTATTATTATCATTATTATTATTGTTATTATTATAATTATTATCATTATCAATATTATCATTTTATTATCATTAGTAGTAGTAGTAGTATCCTTATCATTAATGCAGTTGTAACTGTTGATATTGTCACCATATTTCATAAGTGTTACTGGTATTATATAGCATTATTAACACTAATCATCAGCGCTATTATGTACACTATTAGTGTTAGTGTTGTTTTTATCATTGTTCTCATTATTTTTGTTATCGTTATTCATCAGGATTCTTAATTATGTCTATGGAAGAATGTTTCCGTGTATTTGTTTGTTTGTTTTGTTATTTTTCGATTGTTTGTTTCTTTGGTTTTACGATGGTTTCGTGATTTTTTTTTCAGCGTAAATACCACAAGAGACAGACGAGGCGAGGGAGGGGGGAGAAGGGAGAGAGAGAGAGAGAGAGAGAGAGAGAGAGAGAGAGAGAGAGAGAGAGAGAGAGAGAGAGAGAGAAGAGAAACAAGATGCTAGAGAGACATCCAATATTAGTGCGAAGAGAATAAATAAGTTCTAAGAATTAATTGACTTAGGTGAGCTTTGAAGTCGTTTTTCACTCACATTTCCGACAATCCTGTCTCTTACCTATTCCTGAAACCGTAAAATTCTAGATTTAAAAAGAAGGAAAAGAGGTGAACTTGCAAAGAAATAGTCAGTCAGCACAAACACGAAAGTAAGAAAAAAGGTTGTTAAAAAACTGATCGACGTAGCATATTATTCCTTATTTAGAAGAAAAAATTATATAACTTCATCAAAAGACCTTTACTTATGATATATATGACACATAAGGTAGATTCCAGTTTAATGCCTTTAAATATATATATATATATATGTATATATATGTGTGTGTGTGTGTGTGTGTGTGTGTGTGCTTGTGTGTATGTGTGTGTGTGTGTGTGCTTGTGTGTGTGTGTGTGTGTGTGTGTGTGTGTGTGTGTGTGTGTGTGTGTGTGAGTGTGTGTGTGTGTGTTGTACGCGTGTGTGTTTACATACATATACATATATTTGTTTAATGAAATATTCTAAAAGTAATTAAGCGCCTGACTGAATCTCCATCTCTTTTACCATTCCTGAAGCTTGTCTGGTTATGTAATCAATAAATAATTATAGACAAGCACTCCCCACACTCACAGCTCTTACAAAACATGATTGCTCTGTGCGTAAAAATCTTATATTAACGTCATAAGATATAATGACACATGAATCCTGTCTGAGATTCATTACTTATTCTCATGAAAGACTTTGCTCGTGTATCCCTTTCAATATTTGCTCCCACAGTTTATTCCTTGTGGCATCTTACACAGGTGTGTGCGCGTGGAAGCGAGACAGAGAGAGAGAGAGAGAGAAAGACAGAGAGAGAGAGAGAGAAAGGGATAGAGAGAGGAGGAATATATATAGAGAGAGGGGGGGAGGGAGGGAGGGAGAGAGGGAGGGAGAGAGAGAGAGAGGGAGGAGAGAGAGAGAGAGAGAGAGCAGGAGAGAGAGAGAGGGGGGGGAGGGGAGAGAGAGAGAGAGAGAGAAAGGGGAGAGATTGAGAGAGAGAGAGTGAGTGTGTGTGTGTGTGATTGCGTGTGTGTGTGTGTGCGTATGTGTATGTGTGTTTGTGTGTGTGTGTGTGTATGTGTGTGTGTGTGTGTATGTGTGTGTGTGTGTGTGTGTGTGTGCGTGCGTGTGTGTGCGTGTGTGTCTGTAAGTGTGTGTCGGTACGGGTGGGTTGATAATTGTGATTGTGCGTGTGTTTAGCTGATCTAGTTTGTTAGAACATCACGCAGTCAACAAAAAAAGCCCACGAATGTGAAAAGTCACTCAGAAGCATAAGAATAACTGTAACTCAATCAAGCCTATCCGTATATCTTGGGCCATCCACGCGTCTTCCAGCATTATGTCAGTCAAGGATTGTCTTTATGGCCAACACTAATAGGAATATATTGATTTATTGCAAATACACATGCATGTGCGTGTGTGTGTTTATGTATTTATGCATACACAAACACACACACACACACATATATGTGTAAGTGTGTGTGTTTGTATGTATGTTTGTATATATATATAGATAGATGAAAATAGATATAGATATACAGATATATGTGTGTATATATACATGATTTACATATATATAAATAGTATGTATAAAGCAATGAGTGTAAATACAGTGACCAAAATAGGGTATTTGTGTTGTTTGTTGTGTTGTGTTGTTTTTTTATCGATAACAAACAAAGGTTTAAGTTTAAAACCAATGTCAAGTATATTCTATATACGATTTATTTAGAAACATAAACATCATGAAAATATACCAACAACAAACATCAAGTAAAC